AATTCCACTGAAAATAAAATACCAAGGCGCAAAGTAGAAGGCTCAAAGAAAAACAAAACTTTTACATATTTTTTGAAAGACGGTAGTGGTGCGAAAAGGCGTGTTTGTAAGATTTTTTTCCTTACAACTTTAGGTTACAAGAAGACGAATGACTGGATAGTCCAGTCAGTGTGGGCGAGCGCTAAGAGCAAAAATCAAATACAGGATAATGAATCAGATCGACGAGGTAGACACCCCCCTAACAAAATGTCAAATACTCAAATAGAGAATCACATAGATTCATTTAATCCATCTGTGTCTCACTACAGAAGAGTCCACGCTCCTAATCGCTTATATCTACCAAGCGATTTAAATGTTACCCTTATGTTTGCGGACTTCAGAAAAAAATATCCTGAGTTCATTTGCTCATACGAAAAGTACAGAAAAGTCCTCAAATCGAAAAATATATCGTTTGCCAAATTAGGAAACGAAGAATGTGAACTCTGTGAGTCTTATCATATGCATAATCCAGAGCACACAGCTGAGTCCTTAAACGAAGATTGCGAAAAATGCTGTAGTTGGAAAGATCATATTGAGAAGGCGAGAGAATCTCGTAAAAGATATGCATTGAACAAAGAAAACTGCAATGAAGATAAAGATAATTTATGCGTGTCTGTTGACCTTCAGAAAGTAATAATGCTACCCAGGATGGAAATGTTTAAAAAAGCTATATTTTCTCATCGCCTGATAGTCTACAATGAAAGTTTTGTTCCTGTCGGGAAAATTAGACACTTTCTTCCATTTGCCGTTTTGTGGCATGAGGCTGTTAGTGGGCGACATCAGGAAGACATAATCAGTGCTTTTAATGCATTTTTTCTCCACCATAGGGACGTCAAAAATATTACTCTCTGGCTTGATAACTGCTCTAGCCAGAACAAAAATTGGGCCTTTTTGTGTTTCTTGGTTTATATTGTAAATTCGCCAAGTGTAGCCGCAGAAACCATACATGTGAACTATTTTGAACCAGGACACACTTTCATGTCTGCGGATTCATTCCATCATCAGGTAGAAGAGTCACTGAAGCGTCAAAAGAAGACATATGATTTCGTAGACTTTGAAAATGCAGTACAATCAAGTAATAAAGGAAAAGTACAGATTAAGTCTATGCAAGTGGATGATTTCCAATTATGGAAAAATCTCAGTTCAGCTAGTAAAATTAAAAACCAAAATCCTAAGTTCTATCTTGCCAAAATGACTGAATTAATGGTGAAGAGAAAGGAATTTGAAATTTACTACAAATGCAAATCCGATGAAGAATGGAAGAAACTCGATTTTTTACTTAAAAAACATATTGGTGAAATTCCAACACCTTCCATAAAAACGGCACCCAATGGATTTGAACGAGAAAAAGTCGAAAATTTATTCAAGGCTTTGGGTTCCATCATGCCAGATAATCGAAAAAAATTTTGGGAGGACCTTCCAGAGAAGCTTATTGACTAGTAAAAGACGTGTAAACTTAGTTATTTAAGTAACTCAAATATATTATAATTTCACGTGTTGCTCGTTTTTTTCAATTAAAGTTGCAGAAACAATAATTGTTTGCAGAAGTTGGCTGCAAGAAGGATGCAGCTCCGATTTGGGTAATTATTGGGAAATTGGAAAAAATTGGTAATAAAAAAAAGTTTTTATTTTAAACTGAAAAACAAAATGCCAATCGATAATTAGGAGGTTTTTGGCATATAACGTATATTTCAAACCAAAATGACCCAAAAATGGAGCTGCATCCTTCTTGCAGCAAACTCCTCCATTGTATTGAATTTATAAAGGGCGGTATATTTCCTACGTTAAATACCGGTATCTGCCAAATACGATGATTAACCTAAGTAAATTTGACAATGGTGTAGATTGAATACCCGTATTTGCTAAATACGAGGTTTTTGCATAGGAAATTAGCCAAATACAAGTAGAATAATTACTCGTATGGGGATTTATAGCATAAAAACAATAAAATAGAACTTTTTTAGGTAATAATACTGATTTTAGTGCCCTTATTGCTTAATATGAGCAACAACTGTTAATAATGCAAAAGTTGGTTGAAGCTGCAGATAAATAAAAATTAAAAATTGCTTTTCCGCCATTTGTAAACATTTTCAAATACGAGAGTTAGGCTTAGCAGGGCAGAATAGATGAATAGGCATTTCTTAAAGTAAATACATTATTAAAATCCTTCAAACTACGCAATAAAAATCCTAACAACCTCATAGCTCTGTTGGAAATTCTTTCAATGTGCTCTATGAAATTCAATTCTACATCCAAGTGGACACCTAAATCCCTCATGACATAAACTCTCTCCAGATTAATTTCCCCAATTGAATAATCAAAAATGAAAGGACTTTTCATTCTTCGAAAGGGCATAATTTTGCATTTGTCTAAATTAAGGTCTAAATGATTCCTTCCACACCACCAATAAAATTGATTAACTTCATTTTGAAGGGTCTCACAGTCACTGATATCTTTAACAATAAGAATTATTTTTTTGTCATCGGCAAAATTTAGAAATTTGCAACTTGTGAAAACCTTCCTAACATCATTCATGAAGAGGTTAAATAGAAGTGGAGGTAAAATGTCCGCCTTGCAAAACTGCAGAAGGTATATCAATCTCAGTTGAGATAACATTTTCTACTTTAACCTTTTGCTTTCTTCCTGAGAGCTGATCAACAATCCAATCCAAGAAACTACCGTGAAAACCTATGCATTCCAGTTTATTTTTTAGAATCCTATGGTCAACTCTGTCAAATGCCTTGGAGAAATCTGTATAAACCACATCTACCTGATACCCCTCCTCCAAAGCGCCAAGCAGAGTCTGTTCAAATTCCAACAAATTTGAACTCGTGGACTTCACTTCTCTGAAACCATGTTGTTCAGGAATTATTAAAATTTTAAATAATGGTGTTATTTTGTCCGTTATTATCGCTTCCAGTATCTTAGAGAAAATAGAAATTCTAGAAACAGGCGTGTAGTTCTCAATTGCATAAAGATCTCCCACTGTTAGCAATATATTTTATTATGTACAAAACAAATCACGGAGCCAGTATGTCTGGTATTTGAATCACATCTAATGCAAGAATAGTTAGCAATATCTATCTCGTGCGAAACTACGTCCTCTGTGATACGAGCCTCTGTCAGTATAGCAATGTCGATTCTTGTCTCTACTATGTATTCTTTCACTTCATTGAACTTGTTTAAAAGCATTGTACAGTCTTCTTCTATTCTCAATTGCTAATTTTCTGAGAGATTATTACATATTATGTAGGTAATGTTATTCTATCTTACATGACTCTTCTACTTTCAACAAACACTTACATGAACGATCCCATACAGCATGAAATTCATACAGGCTTAGAAATATTTCGTTTATTTTTAAAAGCATTTCGAAAGTTTTTATATCTACCTCAGCCATTATACTTCCGATTATACTGAACATTTTCTTATGGTTTTCAGAGATATTCAATATATTGAAAAGGAAATCATTTGGCAGGGTATCAATTTTATTTTGCTGTATAATTGTTGACTTTAGAAGCTCTTTATCTCTGGCTAAGGACTCTGGTATGCCAACAATTTTAATCCTTGGGTTTGTTTTCTTTGGATGTGAAACTTCCGTCCTCATAAATGTAATAGTGGTAGTAATTAGTATTTATTGTGAACAATTGCTTTGTCAATAAAAATATTTTTTTTCTGTACAATAAAGCTTACTTTGATTTGATTTGATTTGAACTAGTAAATGAATATACAATTTTGTTGAGCATGAGTTGAGTTAGCACAAAATCCTACAATAACACAAAAATCCAATAGACATTTTCAAAAATCCTGGTTTATGTCAACCCTGAATCTCCCCAGATTTCCCCAAACCTCCCCAGATTTCCGCAAACCTCCCAAGATTTCCCTGAAGAGTTTTGGATATCTGACACCTCGTTCTAGGTATTTATAGCTTTTAATTTAAGTAATAGTATATACAATTATAATTTAATTGCACCTATAATTGAATATTCTTGGATTAAAAATGATTTTATGTTTCAGGTAGGTATAGAAATTTATTAATTGAATATCAAGTAAAACTTAATTTCTGGATTCAAATACCTACACGTCATCTCCATATTTCTCTAAAAGCTTTTGACAAAAATACAAAACAATAATTTTCATTCCAAAAAAAAGTGTGAAATTATTTGATTTCTTATCTTTGACCAGATGTTCTGCATAGCTTATATTTGACATAATCATGAAGGACCGAAAATTGTGTTTTTCACTCAGATAAGTTTGTTTAATTTGGCATTAGTTGTTCAATACACTTCTAATACTCAAATAGGCAATTATTAAAATGTTCACGCAAACGCTAAAATTGTAATCATGCTCCAGGCGAAATTCAATACTTTACCAATAACTGTCTAATTTTATGTGCAGTAGATTTGGTTTTACATTAATTAGTGTGTATAAGTGCTGTGCATTTAACACTCGATTTAGAATGTCCTCCAAAATGTCACTAAAAAGCAGAATATCAAGAAGATGGTCTTCATATAATGTTGCTATTATTCATTCAACTGGGAATAATTCTAGTTATCAAGGTATTTTAACAGAACTTTGGAGAATATGCATGTAAAAATTAAATTCTTAAAAGTCCAAACCACATCAAATTCATGTTACCTAATTAAATATCCTCTTTGTTCAGCCAATTTCAATTTATATTGATTAATTTGCACTTGTTGAGACTAATGAATTTGGAAATATTTAAGATTATAAAACTATCAATCTTAAATGAATCCAAAAATCGTGGATTTGCATTTTGCATAATAGTTCAAGGAAACTTATGTCATTATAAGTACATACTTAACACAAAAGTGGACCAGTGTGAATTATTTTCCTGTTTATTTCATAATCCATTAGCAAATTTATGAATAGTCACTGTGTTAATAAATTAACAATTATTGAAAACGAAAAAACAGAAAAAAAATAAATTCTCTTTGTAGCTTACAAAATGTTTCCGCAACTACCAAACGGTCTTGGCTATATACCTGAAATGGAGCAAATCATAAGCCAGCTAGAAAGGGGTACTTTAGTCACTAAATTTTCATGGAGAAAGAAACCAGAAAGCAAAACATTGTGTATAAGAAGAGAAACTAGACAACTTATGTGGACTAGACCAACGAGTTCATCAAAACCAAATTATGAAGGTAATAAATTTGTATTTTGACAATGAATTACTTTTGAATCAAATATGTTTTCCTGCAGGAACAATAGATTTATCAGAAATCAAAGAAGTACGCCTAGGAAAAAACTCGAAAGATTTTGAAAAATGGCCTGACGAAGCCAAATTGAAAGAAACCAAAAAGTGTTTTGTTATTTTTTATGGATCTGAGTTCAAATTAAGGGTTTTAAGTATAGCAGGTAAAATTCTTGCATGTATAACATTTTAAATACTAATATGTATATCAAATTTGACATTTAAGCTTTATCAGAAGAAGAAAGAAGATTATGGGTTAAAGGTCTGAATTATTTAGTTAAAGATACGCTAAATGCTTCCTACCCTATTCAAGTTCAAAGTTGGTTAAGAAGAGAATTTTATGAAATGGAAGGGTCTAGGGAAACGTAAATATTTTTACGTATTTTGAAAATTAAAATTTGTTTAATCTTATTTTAGTGTAAACTTGAAAGATCTGAAATCGTTCCTACCAAGAATAAACTACAAGATTCCTACTAATAGACTGAGAGAAATATTTAATGAGGTTGATACAAGACGCAGAGGTGAAATTGGATTCGATGATTTCACCACTTTGTATCAAAAAATGATTTTTGATGAAAACGTAAGAGGGTTTTTCCACACCTAGTATGTTATATTACATAATATGTACTTTGTTTTTAGAATGTTTCAGAACTGTTTGATAAAGTTCGTGATTATTCTGCAAACCTAAAACATGTCACGTTGCAAGAGTTACAAAAATTTCTCCAAATAGAACAAATGGATCCCTCAGCATCCAATAAGGAAACAATTCGAAATTTTGTTTGCGATTTTTTGAAGGATCCACAAAGGTACTTTATTATTTTGTATGCATATTATCAGTCTGAATATTATTATTTCAGAGAAGTTCAAGAACCTTATTTAACTATAGCAGAATTTTTGGATTTTTTATTTTCAAAACAAAATGATTTGTGGGATGAAAGCAAGAATTCAGTATATCAAGATATGACACGTCCTTTGAGTCATTATTGGATAGCATCTTCACATAATACGTAAGTTAGGTATTATTGAATAAGGACAATTTTAGTAACTCCGAAACTTTTTAGATATTTAACAGGTGACCAATTCTCATCGGAATCATCTGTAGAAGCCTATGCTCGATGTCTTCGTATGGGTTGCAGGTGCATCGAACTGGACTGTTGGGATGGTCCTGATTGTACACCATACATTTTCCACGGGCACACTTTGACCACAAAAATTAAGTTTATCGATGTGATAAGAACAATCAAAGAGCACGCTTTCATAACATCAGAGTATCCAGTTATTTTGTCTATTGAGGATAATTGTTCTTTGCCGCAGCAAAGAAAAATGGCCAATAATTTACAAGTAAGAAGTTTGAGTTCAAACAAACAGGTTTTGTATTGGCTGTTTTATTATTTTAGGATATTTTTGGTGATATGCTATTGGCTCGTCCGTTTGATAAAAACGAAACCGAACTGCCTTCTCCATACAATTTGCGTCGTAAAATTATCCTTAAACATAAAAAGCTGCCTGAAGGACAGGAAGATGTAATGCCTGCTTTTATGAGATTGGAATCTACAGATAATATGGATTTAAGGTAAGGGTTTTTTTTACAAAAATATCAGGCTTAAGGGCTTTTTTCCTTTTAGAAATGCAGTAAAAAGTGGCGAAATGTATATAGAAGATCCAGTAGACAAAGAATGGATGCCACATTTCTTTGTTTTGAATAATAGTAAATTATTTTATACCAGCCATTATAAATTGGATGGGAATAATTCGGAAAAGTATGCATTTGAAGTAATTTTTTAGATTTCTTTGCTCCACTGATTAATTTTTAGAGAGGAAGATGAAGAAGATAGTGCAAGTTTTGCAAGGCCCAACAAAAATATACCAAATGAAGAGTTGCATTTTAGTGAGAAATGGTTTCATGGTAGATTGACCAAAGGCAGGGAAGAAGCCGAACAGCTGTTGAACACTTATTCACACTTGGGTAATGAAAAAAAAAAAAAAATCAGTTCTATATTTTGCAATGTTCAAATATTGTTTTGCAGGTGATGGCACATTTTTAGTCCGCGCCAGCGTAACATTTGTTGGCGAATATTCTTTGTCTTTTTGGCGCAACGGACAAGTGAATCATTGTCGAATTAAATCCAAACAAGAAAAACAACAAACAAAATATTATCTTATTGAGGGCAAATATTTCGACAGCCTATACAGTCTCATTACCCATTATAGGTCAGTATAATTTATCTGTTTATATTCAACAAAAAATTTATATCTAACCCTGACAAATTTTGTTTCTACAATATGATTCCTAGTTAAAAAATTAAATTGTGTGACTTGGATTGTTTTTAGGTTGGCTCCATTAGTTACTGCTGAATTTTCCATAACCTTACAAGAGCCAGTTCCTCAGCCAAATCTTCACGAAAACGAAGAATGGTACCATAAATATACCACGAAACAGCAAGCCGAAGAAGCATTGAAAAGGATTAAAACAGAAGGAGCGTTTTTGGTTAGGCCGAGTGAAAACGATACAAATTGTTATACAATAAGTTTTAGGTAACTTGTGTTGTAATAATCGTAGCTAGTTGTCTTTATAAAATAATGTGCTTTTCAGGGCTGATAGAAAAATCAAACATTGTCGAATCAAACTGGAAGGAAGGCTGTATACGATAGGCAGTGTCGAGTTTGAAAGTCTAGTCGAATTAATTAATTACTATGAGAGCCATGCCCTTTATAGACGAGTGAAGTTAAGTCATCCGGTTACTGAAGAAACTATAAGGTCGATGATGGTGGTAAGTCAAAAATTAATCTTGAGACTATTTGTATTGTAACTATTATTAGATTTGCTGGAAAGGTAAATATGCATTCACTTTCCTCTGCGTGTTTTGAGTGTACGCTCATATGAAAAGTGCTTCGTTAAAATAACAAGTTTTGGAACTTCTGAAATAAGTATTAAATCTGGACTTTTTGCAAAAAAGTGCCATGATATACAAACGTGCCTGTGATTGAGTTTTCATTTACCGAATCACAAATCTGTGAGTAGAAATTTAATTATTTGTACTGTGCAAATTGAAATTCTTCCACAAAAAATGTAAACACTAATGGCAGTACCCGTCCGGTACCCAGAAATTTTTTTGCTCAACACTGACTATTACTGTCCGGAGAATCAAGTTATATTCACTAAACAAATTGGAAGAAAGAAGAGCAAGTAGGGAAGTTGGTGCATTCTTTTTTTTTTGTAATTTAGGATGGATTTCAAATGCTGTTAAAATAAAACTACTAAAGAAATAAAAAACCTATTTTGTATTATTTGTGCTAACGTTTTCCATAAAAGTTGCTTGGAAAGAAATGTCTTCCAAAAACTTGAGCTACACCAAATCATATGCTCCAAAACTTGCTGTGAAGTCTTTAAGCAAGGTAAAAGCAACCAAGTTACTCTAGAGCAGCTTGACACAAAATTATTGGAAAAAGAAGAAGAAATTACCTAGTAGAAAAACTTAAAGATGAAACTTTGCAAAAGGAAACCCATGCATGTTAAAAAGGAAATTGACAATCTAGACGTTTCCCAAAAGCTAAATATGGAAATAACTGTTCTACAAAATGATCTAACACAAAGATAACCATATCAAGAGGTTCTCAAAGATTTAATGAAGAACCAGAGGAAGCGGAAGAAAGTTTAAACAGAAAAATAGTCCAGCTTCTTAAAACCATAGAGGATTTGCGACAGAAACAAGAAATAATTCGCAGGACATTGAAAAAGTTCACAAGAAATATTAAGACGACCTTCAAGATAAAAATGATGAAATTAACGAAGTACTCCTACGAAACCAAAAGCTGATCGATAGAATCAGAAATTTGGAAAGACAATGCCGAACTTCAAGCTTCAATAGGGGAACTGAGGGAGCAAATTGCGGGTTTTAACCAGAGAAATCAACACACACTGGCAGTAGTTGCCAGTTGCCATATTGTGCCCAACAGAATTCAATCAAACCAGAATATTAAAAAACTTCTTATCATTAGATGAAGACGGAAGAAATTTAAGTCAAAATATTAAAAAAAAACATTTAGATTTTACAAACATTAAAGTAGAGTCTATTATAAAACCTGGGGCACACTATGAAAACGTCTTGCTTGGACTGGACACAATTACCAAGTTTATGCTTCCGTTAAACTGTTTTAACTTCTAAAACGTTTTCGAACTTAAAACGTTTTATCCTATGTTTATATTTCTATAGGGCTTTCCCCAAAACAGATTTTAAATGTCACAACAAAAGCAGTGCTGACACTCGCTTAAAACGGTTTTTAAGATGTTTACGCAGTATTTAAACCCTTTTCAAATTGGTTAAAACACGTTTTCGAAAAGTTTTAAATCAAAACGGTTTAACGAGATAAAACAATTTAGCGGTGTTTATACAACCGTTTTATAGTAAAATGTTTTCTGTTAAAACGGTTTAACTGGAAGCATAAACATGATAATTGATTCGCGGTTTTGGAGAGAATGATTGCGTGGTCGTTGTGGGTGGCTCAAACAATTTTTTAAACAACGAACTTCCAAAATTTCATCAAATACACAGTATAATAAATCGCTGCTCACGTGCTAATTTTATAATTTTGACCTGTCCCATAACTCGTAGAACCGTGAACATCGACTACGTAAGCCATTTTGACAACAACTTATGTAAAATTATTAACGCTTTTGACAAGTGTTCCAAGAAACTTTTTGGCTACCTAAATATCAATATTGATGGGGGCTGTAAGGTGCGGAACTGGATGATTGGTGCAATGATTGCTGAAACGATTCAGCTAAATAATTTAGAAAAGATCAACATAACACAAACTACAAAGTCAAACACACAGAAAAAAAAACAACACATGGTTCCCTACCTTGCGGATCTCCTCAGGCACTAGACAGAATAAAAGGTTTTGAGGAAGTAAATAGTACTTTTCAATCAGTCAGTTTGTTCAATGAGTTGTATGGTAGTTGCAACATAAATAGTGAGGCAGCAAATAGTACGTGCAACACCAGTCGCGTTGATCGTTTCAACCTAAACTCATCACTTTCTTTTTTAGAGAAGACTTTCTGTCAAACAAAAGACCCTCCCCAGTAGAAACTAATTTTGTATCTCTCTTACTTTTAAACATTCAGTCAGTAAACAATAAAGTACATGAACTGTCCGTTTATCTTGAAAATCTTAATTTCCGTCACTTTATCCTTCTTACCGAACATTGGCTCAATACTAACGAATGTTTCTCTATTCCTAACTACATCACCTCTCGCATCACCTTATCTAAATTCTGTCGCACTGACTTCAAACATGGCGGCACAACCATTCTTGTCAGCTCAGACTTTTATTCATCTACAGATTTTAAAAACTGTGACCGATACAACTTTTTCATTTCAGAAAAATCTTTTGAGTTCTCAATACTTCATTCACATTCCGTAAATATGATTGCGGATACAGGCCTTATCCGCACTGAGTGCCGAAAAGTAATTATAATTGTCAAGCAACAATAAGTGCATCTGTCGACTTGGACACATGATGACAAATTTTTCCTCTGTTTCTACAATCAGCCAACATCTATACAAACACCAAATATAAATTAACTTTGACACATTGTCAGATTTGTTCTCTATTTATATGCAAAAATCTATAAACTTTCTCATCAAATTTAAACGCTTTAAGATGAACAGCTCTGACAAGGATTTTCTGGTATTTTTTTTGTTATCCAATTTTTTGATAAATGCATAGGTTCCCTTCAAGTTAATTAAAAATAATTAAACAAATTATCGTTTTTTTTTTTAAATTTTTGTTATTACCTACCTGATATGAAGCTCGTAGGAAAAATTTTGTTCCAATAACTATTTCCTCTAAAATTAACCGTTCAGGTTTTACAGCCTGTCAAAGTTGCAAAAAGTCAATTTTCAACTGTCAATATTCCCAAAACAGTAGTTAGTTGAACTTAGGTATAGGGTATATCACATGAAATCTGCTCAGAATTTTACGTAGAATCCAAATATGCAATTATATACAGGGTGTTCCATTTAAAATAGCGATGTTGCCACTGGTTTAAAGTAGGAGCGGCAACACCGCATAAACAAAAATATTTTTAAAGTTTAGATTATGGTCGTTTATCCCGGTTGCCAAATTTTCAAAATGATCCGCTTTTTAGTTTTCCATTAACGTCTAATACGCCACGCCATCCACCGTACGTTTTAGGGTTTGAAAAAGTACTAATATACCGGGTGTTTTTCAAAACCCGCTCACCCCTATAACTTTTTTATTTTTTCAAATAAACAAATGAAATTTGGTGTGTTTATTTATGACCCGGAATTGCATTATTTGACGTATTCAATTATTTTTTATCATTTCCGGTTTGACCGGAAGTGACCCTGACTTTCTTATTTTGAATGAGACGCCAGGATAGTTTTCCCTTATTTCAAAAGAAAACTACATTACGAGTACAATAACACCTCATTTGTCGCTTCTTGACATTTCATTTCCAGATTATTTAATTTTTCACTTTTTGATCTAGAGCGCCATGAATCAGATACAATGCTTATTTTTGCTCCAAGGAATGGAGCTCTTGAAATGGTGAAACTTTTGAATAATTTGAATTTTAAGTGAGAACAATGGGTAAAATAAATGCACAAATTTCAATAAAACGACAATTTTTTGTCAAGTGCACCTTGAACTGGGATTAGCCTGACCATAAATCCTCATAGCCCAGTAAAAACTGCGTTTGTTTAAATACATAGTGAGGCGATAATTTCAACTTCGTAAGTAGTTGTCCTAAATATCTGTACTTATCTGTATTTTCAACTTTATTTTATTTTTTCATCTGTTTGTATTATCATCTTATTTTTTATTTTGTCAAATTTTTTTTTTTGCTAAATGGCTTCACATTGTGGAATATGTCAAAAGAATTGTATCTTTAAGCGTCGTCCGAATGTTAAAGGAGGAGAAGTGTTCGGCACCAACTGTGACAGGTGTAATCAGTTTTTTTGGTAAGACGCGCAAATATATCTGCAAGTGAGGCAGATGCTTTGTACGTTATTTATAGAGTCGTAGTGTTTAACTGTAGTGCAGGCTGTAGATCGTCATCTGATGAAATTGATCACCTCTCGAAAAAATTCTATGAACAAAGGGTTGAACTAGACCAAAAAAATAATTATATCAATACTCTGGAGAACGAGATGGAGGATCTGAAAAATGATTTAAGACACGAAATTGAACGACTTGAACAGTTAAACCAAATGAAGGACAGCCACATAAAGAGGCTTGAACGCAGAACCCAGAATATTGATGAGGAAGTACTTGAGGCAGAACAAAGCTATGAAGCTACCCTTCGAGCGCAGAAACTGGAGCTACTGACTTCTCTGAATAGAGAACTTCTTGAGGTACCTACTTGAAAAAAATAATAAAGTGACTGATGAATTAAACTCACAAGTGCTAGAATCAGCTTCCCAAGAAAAAGAACTCTTGGACCTTCGAGTTATAAATAGGTCCCTAATTGACAATAATTATGAGCGAGATTATGAGGTTGTCATGGAAAAAACTGCCTTGGATGAGGAGCTTCAGTCCTACAAGGAAAAACAATCTTAGCTCGAAAAAGACTTTGAGGACCTCAATGCAATAAGCAAAAGTAAAAGTTAACTCCATAAGAGTCTTAGAGACAGAGAATCAGTCTTATTACAACGAAATATGCCTCTTGAAATCGCAGTTGAATGAGCTCACCTTTGAAAAAGTATCAGATAACGCATCACCACAAAAAGAAGCATCAATTATTGTAA